AAGAGCTTCAGTAACAGCAGCTAAGAAAAATGAAATTAAAAAGTAGACTGAGACCCCAGAGGTTCTTGAATTTTCAAATATCATTAGAGCAAAGATAGCAGGTTCTACTCCATAAACTAACTGATGATTCTTCAACAGAGAATGAACAAACAATGAAGAATGAACAAGCATAATAGGACATTTGCATTCATTTTAACCCCCAATACCATAATGCTTCGCAAAGTTTCTTTCTTATTAAAATTTGTATTCCCTCTTGAGAATAGTAAGACAATTAGTGCTAATTAACTGAACCAAAGAAAGTGTGCAAGGGAATCTGGTAGTAGAGGTCAATGACACCATCATCCAAACATCCTATAACTTGTACAATAGTACAATCAACTGAGCTACAGTAAGCTGTTGACTAAACCTTTTGCAAAAAAGGTTGGTGAAGATTTTGTCACATGTCCCATATTGCCCTACCAAGCTTGAAATGTATAATATTCATATATTGTAAATGATGTGAGCACAGAAGACAAAAGAATGCAGATGAAGTTTGAGAATACCTTTTAGTGATTGGATTTGGTTTCTATTCTTGGATACACATCGCAGTTTATTTCAGGCTTGGTATGCAAAATGCAACAAAACCATCAAAAACCCTTTTTTGAAATATCAATGTATAAGTATGGATAGCAAACATTTCATACCAATGTCACCAGAGGTGTCAACTGTCAGTGGTGCTCCTGATGCGATGGCATCAAACGCTAAAGCTGCTTCACTGCTACTCCCAGTGTCTGACAGTGGAGTCTGGATGTCAATCAAACAGAAACAATGTCAAATTTCATTACAATCAGTCAATAGCTGATTTGGTAAAAATTTGAAAAAACAATTTACCATGTGGGGAGAAAAGATTGGAATAGGCTAAAGGTGAGGTGTTTGGCAAGAGCTAGTGTACAGCAAGGCTGAATGAATGTGGTTATCACCCAAATGTGGTGGTTACTGTATCTTCCTAGGCAAAACAAAATGTCACCCTCGCACTGCCTTTCTTTACCCAGGTGTGAAAATAGGTACCAGGAATTTAACTGTCTAGCGTTTACTCCTTATTTGCAAAAGAGTCTTAAAAAAGGGAATGCATGAGTTATTTACCTTTGATTCCCCAAATTCAGGGACTGAAGGAGTGGTGGCTCCACTTGAGTAAACTCTGTCACTTGTTTTACCAGAATTATACTAAGAAGAAAAAATAAGACGATGATCATAGAAAACAAAAGTTGGGCAATTTAAGGAAAAGGATATTGAGTATAAGAAAAGAAAGATGGATGGATGAGAACAAAGTAATAAATGGATGGATGGATGGATGGATGGATGGATGGATGGTTTTATAAATGGATGGATGGTTTGATGGATGGATGGACGGATGGACGGACGGATGGTTTGATGGACGGATGGACGGACGGATGGGTAGGTGGATGGGTGCGTGGGTGGGTGGATGGATGGATGGATGGATGGGATTGAGAAAAATAGGAAGGAAAACAGGAAGAAAAACAAGACAGGCATGAGATTATAATCAATTTTAGAATCTTTACCCCTGAGGTCAATAGCTGCATCTTTTGTGCAAGTTCTTCTGCATCAACCCCACCAGTACTATCTCCTAACCCCTGCATTCCTGTAATACTTGCAACCTACAAAATCAACAATAATCATCATTATCATATCTTGTCTTTGAGAGACACGAGTATTGGTATTTTAAACCCAATTCATGTTGTAGAACTGGTAAAAAATGCAAAACTTCTATTGCTATGTACTACAGAACTGTACTGGATGGTGTGGAACCCGCTGCTTAAGGAATATAAAATGTGTATGTCTCTATACTGTGATATAAACAGCTGTAGAGCAAGAGAGAAGCAAGCTTAGGAACACAAGTGTTTCTCTTGCTTCTTGAGTGCTCTACAGCTCCCAGAGTGTTTATATCACATTACAGAGGCATAAGCAGGCATTTTATATTGCTCTCACAAAACATTTTTGGACAACTTTGTGTAAGTGTGATATAATATAATATCTGATATAAACACAGTGGCCAGCCAATTGGTGCACATGTTATACTTCAAAGACTCTACAAAATATAATACATAGATACTATTACCTTCTGGGAGAGTTCACTGGTGTCATAACCAAGCAGTGTAAGAAAATGCTTTCTTGGTTCCCTCTCAAAGTTGATCTGCAAAAAAGATCAAAATCAAATCTGACCTGGCAGCATAACATCTGTTTACAGACCGAACGTACCGGGCTCTCCATGAGCAACACTAAGGTAATAATTACATGAAATAGAGAGAATAAGAGAAAAATATCATTTCTCTCTATTTCATTATACACACCGAATGCATAATTTATTACTACTATAATAATATGTTGATTTTTATGGTGGATAACTGGAGAAACCAGAGAAAACTATCAGGGCTAAAACAATGGCTGCTTCATGGCCAGACAAGATGACTGGCCATAAACAGATCAGGGTGTGACCTGTTGGTATGACCAGTCAAGAGGACCAGCCTAATAGTCCTTTAATCAGACAAGTGCTAGTTTTGACTGGCTACTATTATTGTTTGCCCTGCCTTGTGACAGGGGAGAAAACAATACATCAAACAAACTCAATACATATGAGGTTAAGCCAAGCATCAAAGCATAGGATAAAATTATAAAAAAACCTAACCTTATTCCTAC